ATCGGTGCCTCTAGGCAAGTCTCACCCCGAAGATTTTTTTGATAGGATAGGAGTGATAATTGGAGTAGATTCTGCTGCATCTGCTTCGTCTTTGCTGAGTGTTGAATCTAGTGACGGACCGCCTGGTAGCGAGAGATGGGTAGCTGACTCAGGAGCCAGCAACAGTTTTACAAACAGCAGCCTGCACATGTACGACCTGCAAGAGATTCCCGCCAGTAGGAAGTATGTCGTTGAAGGTGATGGTCGACTGCTCGAAGTGCAAGCTATCGGTTTCATCAATCTTAGTTTCTTTCAGGAGGATGAGAATGGTGAAAAAACGACCATGTGTGTAAAGCTCACTGACGTGTCTGTAGTAGAGAGCCTAAGCTTCAACTTGTTTTCCACGCATGCTGTTTCTCGAAAGCAACAAATCCTGCACGACGAGCGTGGTGCAACCCTTCAAAATGGACTGCTCTTTGCTAGGGAGGAAAAAGCGTCTGCAGCATATGCCATGCGGTTACCATACGACCCATCTGCGACTATAGTAGACTCTGCTGCTTTGCCTGCATTCGTGACTGCCCCCGATTCCGCCCCCGCCGTTGGCTCCACGCGTTCCCCTTCCCAAAAAGGGGGCTCCGCGGAATCATTGGTGTCCGTGTTGCGTGTTCCTTCCGCAGGCTCTGCTACCGTAGTACCTTCGAGTGAGAGCGTCCCGCCCACTGGTCCCACCAGTGTAGTACCTGCGAGTGAGAGCGTCCCGCCCGCCGGCTCTGCCGACGTAGTACCTTCTTCGGCTTCCGAGTTTGTGTGTGTGGGTACTTTTCCTGGTATGGATCTAGGAGATACGAGTGTGCTCACCGACGAGCAGCTCATGGATGGTTATGATGACACCCCATATCAAGATTTTTTCCCCGTATTTATCCCAGAGAGTGACGCTGCGAATGTGGCTGGTGTTTTGGATAGCATTGATGGGGGTGCTGATTTTGACTTGGGTGCGGCCGCGCTTGGCCCTGGTGCGTCCCCGTTTGCTCTTGGTTCGACTGAAAAGTCCGTTGACATCAACCGCTTCCACCGCTCCCTTGCCCACGCTTGCGAGCCTCTTTTGAGAGAAACTGCCCAGCAGAGAGGCATCGTGCTCACCGGCAAGCTGGAACCGTGCACGGACTGCATGAAGGCGAAGGGCAGGCGAGCGTCGGTGCCGCGGGGGCCGGGAGCGCGGGCGTCCAAGCCTCTCGGGCGTGTTCACCTGGATCTGTGTGGACCGCTGGTGCCTTCCCTGGGCGGCAACCTCTACCTGTTGGTCGCCGTGGACAGCGCCTCGCGGTGGAACAAGGTCTACGGTCTCCGGCGGAAGTCCGACGCGCTGGCGGCAACGAAAAGGCTGCTGGCGGACGTGGGGCGGTACGACCTCGGACGCATCGAGTGTTTCCGCGTCGACAACGGCACCGAGTGGACCCGCGGCGATTTCCGGCGCTTCTGCGACGACAACGGCATCGGCGTCGAGTTTACCCCGCCTGGCGTCCCGCAATACAACGGCGTCGTCGAGAGCGCCATCTGGCGCATCATGAAGGCCGGCATGGCCGCTCGCCGCAGNGGCGTCCCGCAGTACAACGGCGTCGTCGAGAGCGCCATCTGGCGCATCATGAAGGCCGGCATGGCCGCCCGCCGCAGCGCTGGCCGTGTGTTCGACGTCGACTTCGCCTCCATCCCCGGCCTCGACGAGCGCGGTGACCGTCTTTGGATGGAATCGGCGAAGTGGGCCGCCGACGCTCTCAACCAGTCGGCGACCAAGGCCAACCCCGGGCGGCGCTCGCCGCACGAAATGTTCACCGGCGAGCAAGGGCCGTTCCGCGTGCTGCCATTCTTCCAGCCCGGCTTCATGCGCGAGGATTGCTGCACCAAGCTCGACGACCAGGCCACCCTCTGCTACTACCTGAACGGCGGCGAAAACCACCCGAGCGGCACCGTCAAGGTCCTCAAGGCGTCCACCGGCCGCGTCGTCTACACCAACAACGTGTCGTGGGTGACGTCGGCGCCAGCCGGCTAGGGGGGTTCCGCTGGTATCACTGCTGCACCGACACCCCCCCCCGTTCACCCCGCCGGTCGTCTCGATCAACTTTGGCCCGGCTAGCGGGGTGCCTCTGAAGCTTGAACAGATCAGCACCCTCACGGACGCAGTCGCGATCGCCTACATGAAAGCCATAGGGCTGAAGTTGACAGGCAACGTTGCACTCAAGCGGAAGAAACATTCGGACATATCGAAAGCAACAATATTTCAGAGTACATGTACTCTCTTTCAAGGCCTGCGACCTCGCCAGCGCCCGCTGTAGGACCCGCCAGTGGGCACATGTCAATCTGAGGGTTGGGGACTCGAAATATCTGCTGGTGTTGAGTTGTTGTAGATGTATTTATCGGCGGGACCTGCTCTTTCTCCACCTTTGATCCAGATAATTAAGTACCATTATTATGATTCCATGCGTTGACCGTCAAGGGTGATGGCTCTTGTCCTCCTCTGTGCGTTTTGTTGTCTGGCGCATGTGTCTGCCTCCTGCGTGGGAGACGGGGTAGATATTCCGTTCGTCTCGTCGCGCACGACCGGTACGGATGGAGATTAACTTGTTTTCGCCACGCCGAGCACGGATGGAAGAAACATGTAATATTTGATACTCGGAGTGCATATGATACGCCGAGTCTATGATGATGTGGAACACTGCAAATGCACAAAGGACAAGCACATTTGTTTTGCTCCGCTCGGCTCTCGTGGTTGGCATTACGCAGACACGCTCACTTTGGTGTACACAAACATCAGTCAGAGAGGTGCGGAACGTAACCGTGTGCGGCAAGCGGGCGTGTCGGACTTCAAGCAAACAAGAAACAGCACACCTCGGCAACAACGTACAACAGCACGAACAGATCGTGCTCTGTTGCTGTATCATTTGCAGAGTCCAACCAACGCAGACGCACAGTACAACAGTAGAGTTCTTCTACAACTATACCTGACAAGACAACTCCGCTCTCGTATAGTCTACAACTAGACTATACCTCACAACACAACTCCGCTCTCGTGCATTCTCAAATCACCAACGGCTGCAGCTGCAGACCTTTACAGCCCGGCCACTCGAAGATGAGGCTGTAGGATTGATTGATTATTTTGATTTTGACTTGATGTTCAGGATGGAATGGATGTTACAGCAGGGGGGCTGCTGGACTGGTTTCTTTGCAAAGGTATTGGATCTCGGAGTAAGGGTTTGGCATGTTCTCGTTATTTGAACTAGTCATTGAGTTGAAACATGCATAGACTATTTATCTGAGCAATGGATTTGTTCTGAGTAGTCAGGACGTAAGACACGTTTTCCCGGAGTTACCCGTCCTCCCCGTTCTGACGTGATTCTGATGGAATGTTGATCTTTTTGCTGGGTATTTTTCCAAGGGTGATTGTTCGTGTTTTGACTGCTTGAGAATTTTGTAGAGCATTTTTCTCAAGAGGGTGATTTGTTTTTCTTGACAGACCTTTTAGGGTTAGAAATTTGACATCAAAAAGGTTTGAAAGCTTTGCAGGACGTGTGCTATTTTTTGGCAGAGTCGTTTGGGTTGGAATGGTGGATGATTAGTTGTTGGCATAGGGGTTTTGATTTTCTGTGTGCCGTTTTATCTGGCAATGATAGTCGTGACCGGGATTTCGTAGATCGTATCTCGTACCGAGCAGGGGGGCTGCTTGGGGTGCTCGGCAGAGAATACTATCTACGGGGCCTCCGGGTGATACGCGGGTGGTATGTATTGATGGACATGCTAGATGCCGATGGTGTTGCCTATGGTGTTGCCTACCGCATGTCTCTCACTCTGTAAGCAACAAGTTCTTGAGTCAAAAAAAAAAAAAATTCGTACTCAAACATCACGTTCCTTGGCGAGATTAAGACCCCAGCAGAAGTCGCGCTGCTTGCCGTCATTGTTGGACTCGCCCGATCCTCCGAACTTCCTTCTCCGCTTCACGGTCCTCCTGCCGCTGCTCCGGTCGCGAACACGGGCGCCCCGGCCGTGGCCCCCGCGACATCTTTCCACGGTCGAACGGGGTGTCCACCCCCATCACCGGCCCCACGCTCCCAGCGTTCAGCCGGTACAGCTTCCACGGGTCGGAGGGGCGCAGCAGACCCGAAACCAGTCCACATCAATCCCCTCTGCCTTGTCATTGCTATTACTGCCGCTGCTGGTGCTGGTGCCGCTGCTGCAGCTGCCGCTGCTGCTGACGGAGCCACCGACCAGGTCGTCCACCCCGGGATCGTCGGTGCCGCGCACCCCCGAACACACGGTGCCGGGATCGAAAGGGTGCGTGGACGCCCCCCTCTCGCCACAGACGCTGTCATCCCAGCAGTCACCAACCTCACCTGCGCACCAAGCGCCATCATCGCTGCCGTCGTCGATGCCGTTCACCACCGCTTCTCCGTTGCTGGCCACCCCCCCAACCGATATGGTGGGGGAAACGTCACCGACGGTCACCATCGTAACGACCGGTGCCGTCGCCACGGTCGCGGGTGGTGCCGTCACCGATGTCCCCACTCCAGCCGCCGATGCCACCGCTGTAGCCACCTGCGCGGGCTCTCGAGCCATTCTGCCTGCCGCCGCAGCACGAGAAACAACACGGTCAGGTCCCGCCGCCATGGCCGCTGGAACCGCCGTCGATGCCGACGCTCCAACCACCAACGCGGGCGCTCTGGTCGTTCTCCCCGCCACCGTCGCGGAGATAACAGTGTCGCCGGGCACCGCCGCCGCCGCCGCTGGAGCTGCTCCCGATGCCGCTGCTTCAGCTGCCGCCGCGAGCCCTCCAGGCGCTGCCCCCGCCGTCGCTGCGAGGGAAACACTACCGCCGCCGTAGGTCGCCGCCGTCGCCTCTGGAGCTGCTCCCGATGCCGCTGCTTCAGCTGCCGCCGCGAGCCCTCCAGGCGCTGCCCCCGCCGTCGCTGCGAGGGAAACACTACCGCCGCCGTAGGTCGCCGCCGTCGCCTCTGGAGCTGCTCCCGATGCCGCTGCTTCAGCTGCCGCCGCGAGCCCTCCAGGCGCTGCCCCCGCCGTCGCTGCGAGGGAAACACTACCGCCGCCGTAGGTCGCCGCCGTCGCCTCTGGAGCTGCTCCCGATGCCACCGCTTCTGCCGCCACTGCAGGGACTCCGGCCACCTCCTCCGCCGCCGCCGCCGCGGGGGGAACACTGCCACCGGAGACCGCCGCCGTCGCCGCTGGAGCTTCCACCGATGCCGCTGCTCCTGCTACCACCGCGAGGACTCCGGCCACCCCCTCCGCGGCCGCCGCGGGGGGAACACTGCCACCGGGGGTCGCTGCCGTCGCTGCTGGAGCTGCCGCCGATGCGGCCGCTCCGGCCGCCACCGCGGGGCCTCCGGCCATCCCCCCCGCCGCCGCCGCGGGGGGAACACTGCCACCGGGGGTCGCTGCCGTCGCTGCTGGAGCTGCCGCCGATGCGGCCGCTCCGGCCGCCACCGCGGGGCCTCCGGCCATCCCCCCCGCCGCCGCCGCAGGGGAAAACACGACCATCGGGCGCTTTGGTGAACTGCACTTGCCCACCCATAGTCTTGGCCCCCTGCCAGTCAGGACAATGTCGTACCTTTCCTGTATCCGTGAAAAAGACAGAAGGTCGAGCGCCGAACCCGGCATAGCACCAACACCCGTGAGCACCAAACCCGGCACAACACCAACACTTGTGAGCGTCACGCGCACATCTCTTTGGCAATGGAAAATCACATCCAGGTCGCCAAAGAGTTTAACCGGAACTCGTCTTCCGTCGGAGAGCATGAGCAGCTATTCCTGCCGTCGCGGTAGACGCCTGGTGTACACCTTCTCCTCCGAGCGGACCACGTGGATCTTGGCACTGGTGTGTCCCAGGAACACCGTAGCACCCGGGCGATTCGGAAAAGGGCATCGTACACACAAATTGTTGCTGCTGTCGCATCTGCTGCTTGCTGCGGCTGTTGGTAAATCTGACAAATAGCACCACCACGAGACCACTGCTGCAACTACGGTCGCGGCTGGGGTTGGGCACTACATGCCTGCTGTTGACGTTGTATTTTCCGCTGCGGATGCTGGGCAACACGCAGCTGGCAACGAGCGTTCCAAAGCTGCTGCTGTTGTGGTTGCTGCTGCCTAAGACTCCCAACTTGGCAGCCTCCACAGCTCTAAGCGCCTTCACCAGCCTCTCCACCTCCGACTCGGCAGCTCGTAGCTTCTCTGCTGCGTTGCGCGACCTCTCCTCCACAGCTCTAAGCTTCTCTGCTGCGTTGCGTGATCTTTCCTCCATCTTCGTGCGAAAATGATGTTCGAAAGCAATTATTCGTGACATGTACATGCACATGCATGTACGATCTCACCAAGCTCGAAGCAAAAGTTGTGGCGTACCACAACAATCAATAAACACACAACAACCGTGTCCAAGTCCTCAATACAGATGAACGGTTGGTGTGGTATCCGAGCTATGCTACGGTAGGGGGGATACCCCTCGTGACCGGCTTTTTGTAATCAATTAGCTATTGGGCCCGTGTTGTGTGACGCTCTCCAATACTTATTGTTATTGCAATCAATCAGTGACTGACACGGGAACACAAGTAAGTGTGCCTACAGAATTGGTGTACTCTGGCTGGTCAAATATAGCGCAGTCCTGTGGTGTCGGTCACACATGCCCCATAATATGACCCCCCTACCGTAGCATCGCTCATCCACGAAATGTGATACAAAAGGTGTTATGCCTAAAAGGTGATCTACCGTTCACCTGTGAGAGACAGGCAGGAATACCTGCCGTATGCTATACTCCTTTATGTATGTCCTTGTATTGCCTTCGGCCTCTGTGCTGTGTTTCTTTTTTTTTTTTTTTTCATGACCTCCCTGCCTGCTCTGCTGTGTTGGGTACCTTGATCTCGCTTTGCTGTTGCCTCTGTTTTTTTGTACGGCTGGCTGTCTGCCCATCTGCCGCCTCTTTGCCCTGTTTGCTCCGTTACTCCCATGCCCTGGTGCGCAGTGCCTGGTGCTGGTACGTTACGTTACCCTTTCATTTTTTCTTTCGGCGCGTGCTCCTTTATTTTTATTTTTTTATTATTTTTGTTTTGTTTTATTTTGATCAGTGTCCGAGGGCTCTTTTCTCGAACAGTAGGTGCGATACCTGTTCTTTTCTTTCTTTCGATCATTTTGTTTTCTTTTTCCGAGTGGTTTGTATCCTATTTTTGTTTTTTGTTTTCTCGCGGCGTCGTATGTGCCGGGTTTTGAGACCACGGGCTCCCCATTTTTTGTGGACTATAGAGCTAATGTGAGAAACAACAACAACAACAACCATGCGTAGTCTAGACTATGTATTTTTATTGTAGGTGGCACACCTCTCAAACGAAGATACACTTTCTTTCTACCGTTCCTTTTTAGGGTAAGTTAGCCTGCGACCACGGGAATCGACCGCGTCGAGTGTTGTATCAGTACGGACATGCGAAGGTACTGGGTAGAGAGAGATCGGAACGGTTTTTAATGTGAAGACAACAACAACAACAACAACAACAACAACAACAACAACCGTTCACCTGTACATGTTAGTGTATAGGCTACAGCAGCACCTTCTCAATACCGGTGGTACACAGCGTTGTTGACAGTATTACAAATGACACACAGACTAAATCGCAGTTCCGTGAGATGTTCACGCATGCATGCATGTACGTATGTTTGAAAAACTCGACGCATATGCAACACCTATGCCGCACCACAACAAATATCAATACAGAAAGGGACAAACCCTGCGTATTCCTTCCTACAACGTGGAGGGTGTGAATATTACTAGTTTTTTTTTTGTGAAAAGTGTGGCCCGTTAGGGGTACGCTTTTTGTTTTGTTTTGCAAAAAAAAAGCTGTTTAGAGGGATCGTGTGTGGAGTATGTGCGCACGAGAAAAATAATAATTTTCATGCACAGGGGCGTGGAAATTACGCCATGGCTGTCTGTCTGGTGTCTGGTGTCTGTCTGCGCGCCTTAAATACCCAGCAGACTCGAGCCCATTTCACCATCTCGGCACCAAATTGCAAACTAAAACTTGCGCACAACAAGTA